GACAATTCATGGGTGTGGAATCCATTCCGCAATTCCTCGATGTGGACCAGACTGCTGCACTTAACGTGAGCACACTTTCAGCTGCACAAGAACAGGATACCGCTGTGAGTAGAGCACTATTTTACCTTCAGAGACACAGACGTCATGACAAGCGTGAACGTGCTAGTGAGCCTCGTACTGTCCTGAGACTTCTTAAGCTTTGGACTAAACTTATCATCAGAGATGGCATGCTTTTTAAAGTAAAAAGAGACAATCAAATGGACAAAAAGTTGCATCAATTCATTGTCCCAGATGCTTTAAAACGACAAGTGCTTCATGGTCTGCATGATGCGTCTGGTCATCAAGGGTGCTCCAGGACTCTCTCATTGGCCAGACAACGGTTCTTTTGAACAGGCATGGACTACGACATAGCGAATTATGTGAGGAACTGCATGCGATGTATTGTAGGCAAGACACCTGAACCGAAAGATCGTGCACCCCTTGAGAACATACGCACCTCTGAGCCGATGGAACTCATCTGCATTGATTTTTGGACAGCAGAGCAGAGTGATAAGAGTGTGGATATCCTGGTAGCAACGGACCATTTGACCAAATTAGCCTACGCTTTTCCCGGTAAGAACCAGTCTGCAAAGCAGGTTGCTCATCATTTATGGAACGGACTCTTCTGCATTTATGGATTCCCTAGGCATGTGCCCAGTCCAAAGCCAAGTGGCCACTGTCTTTGCAGATGCTGACATTCTGTTATAACTGCACCGTTCACGGTACCACAGGCTTTGCGCCTTTCTATCTGATATTCAGGAGAGTTCCGTGTCTTCCAATCGATGTGATGTTCCAACATGTCCTGAGGGACGATGCTGTTGTGAAGTATTTAGATTTTGTATCCAAGCTTAAATGTGACTTTGTTGAAGCTGCAAAAATTGCACAGAAGCACAGTTCAACTGAGCAAGCCCGGCATGCAAGGATCTACAAACGGAAAGTGAAGGGATCACCTTTGACCATAGATGTACAAAGATGGAGTCGATTTACCATCTAAGTCTCATTCAAGTGATTCGACTGCAAACTTACCTGATCTTCCTGAGAGTGGTGCAAGAACGGCTCACTGGGTTATGCAGTCTGATCAGCATGACTGCCCTGATAATGACAGTGACTCAGTTGCCTTGTCCAGAGTTCAGTGTTCTTTGGATGTGCAGAATTCCAATTCGAAGGCAGACTCTGATACTTGTGACCGCTCTGTACGTATTGAACTGGGATGTGACGTTCCGCATTTGTTAGATGAAGGACTGCCTACTGACTATGAGTTAGATCAGAGTTCCTCTCAGCACTCCTTGACAACGCCAGTTTTTCCGCTTTCACATGTAGTCAATTTCCCTGTTCCGGATACAGTTGACCCTGTAATTTGCAATCAACCTGAACACTTTCAGACAGGCACACTTAGTACAAGGGGCTGGTAGGACCATTAGACCTCCACAAAGATTGATTTGTGAGATGAATAGTCAGTTTGTGCATGATTCATCTCCACCAGTGATTTCTCTTTTTGATGTGGTGAAAAGACTTTTTCATGGGTAAATTATGAGTTGGACTTCATTTTGAGTGGAGATTTTCTCTTAAAGGTCCCCTGACATGAAATTGTCACTTTCTGAGGTTTTTAACATTAATATAGTAATTGATAGAGTTCCCCTAGCCTGTATATGGTCCTCCAGTGGCTAGAAATTCAATCGGTGTAAACCGAGCTTTGGCTATCTTTCTCTGCCTTTGAGAAAATGAAAGCTCAGACGGGCTGATCTTGAATCTCCTCCGTATGACATCATACGGAGGAAAGGTAACCTCCCCTTTCTCTGCTTTGTCCGCCCAGAGAATTTGGCTCGCCCATGAGAAAATGAGCTAGGAAGTACGAACGCGATTTGAGTTTTTCCTCGAGAGATATCATGGCTTGCAAACGAGCGAAGCATGGCAGTTGATCAGTGTTCAGATGTACAAATGAACACAAAAGTATTTTTTAGTTCCTTCATCCGAGCCTCTGAAGAAACAATGGGTTAATTTTATTTTTTTCTGGAAATGTGCCGACACAACTTCCCAAAGTTTTGTATGGTCCAAACATTTTACCGACGACTGTTTCCTCAACTTGGGCCAATACAGAGCTGGCCTCGATGAACGTCTGAAAATCAATCAATCGAGCTACCAAGCAACAATTTCTGATGTGTAGCCTAATTGTTCAAGTTCAGACAGGTAATCTTTCTCTCAAAATCGTTCAATACTGTTTATGGATAAGTCAAGCCAGTGACTAAAATATCAAATTCACGCTAGAGGCTGTCTTTAGTCTCCTTGTTAGAGTGCCTGACTCTCACGCCCGAGGCCCGCAGAGTGCGGGGCGATTAGGACCCGGGTGGAGGGGTTGTGCTTGCTCCTCTTCTTCCTCCTCTTGGCTGTTGACCCTGTTCATTTCCTGGTCCATCCATTATTGGAAAATTGCGACCGTGTTGTGGTCTGTATATATGCTTGCCAATTGATTGTTCATGAGATGCACCTTTGAGCAATTTAGACAACTGGTTGATTTTGGTTGAACTAACACTTTACATTCATGAGTGAGGGTCAATTTCACCTGTACGATTCATCAATTCACGTTTTTGTACAAAAGGTCTTATAGAATTGTGTAAAACTATGCTTGACAGTTTATGTCAAATAGTTCAACAATTTTGCATGTAATGGCTTATGCAAGGAACTAATTCCTAGATGTTTTGAGGGGTAAGACTATTCAACAGAGAACCATCTTCTATATTTTGATCAACATGACATGAGCAATTGAAAATGTGGGAAAAAGCTGACACTGGTACATTATCAATTGCAATATGTACAAAAGCAATTGCAATTTGTTCAAAGGAATAAGAAATTGCTTTAATGATGTGCACAAGTGACTAGATGATTTGGAATTTGTACAAGTAGTATCAAGAATTGCACTTTTGATCTAAGAAATGCACCAAAGCGAAAACTGTAAGTTTTGAGCAGTCGGAGGATTGTCAGTTAAAAGTGTCTAAAATGCAAATACTTGATTTGTTGTGGATTTTTCCTGCAATGAACTCCTTAGGGAACTGTTTATGTGTGTTCGGCGTCGAATGTCATGTTATTTGTTTTGGCTTTGTATACGTGGCACAATCGTGCAATTTGTGCAATGTCTTGTGTTTTATGTAGAACTGATTTACTCTGCATTGGATCCCTTATTTCCACGTTTTGTTTCCTCATTGTGCAGGTATGTTTGTAAAATGTGTTATGTGTTTTATGAATTAATTGTTTTATTCATGTATAATTGTGCATGTTCACCACTAGGTGGGGATGTTTCCCTTTATATTGAAATGTTCTGTTTTTCATTGAGTGATTTGCGATTAATTCATTGAAGATGTTTATTATAACTTCTCACCTTTGAAAATTATCCACTATACAATCACAAAGCTAACATATGTAATGAGTTTAAAAGGATTAAATTGTTTTAAATAAACAGCAGAGCTAATGAGACATGCTGTGGAACTGATTTACTCTCTATGCATTGGATCCCTTATTTCCACGTTTTGTTTCCTCATTGTGCAGACCGCCCAGTCAAGACCGTCTCACATGCAGTGTGTGTGTGTGTGTGTGTGTGTGTGTGTGTGTGTGCGTGCAGAAAGGTCAGAGAACGAAGCTTTTCCTGTAGACAGACATATAGTGTTCTGTGTGAATGTCGAGCCCCAGAGGACTTCTTCAGTAAGTGATAACGTTGCTCATGATTTAGCACAAGGGAATGGAAGCTTTCTGCACTGTTAAAATAAGTAAATAAACTTTAAAAAAGTAATAAACATGTAAGTGATAAACATGCTCCTTTTTATGCAAAGCTTTGCTGTGTTCTCTGTCATTGGTCACAGATCCATCAAATATGGAGGTAATTGAGATGAACCAGATACACTAATGTTCCAAAGTTGGATGCGTTAAATTGATCAAAAGTGACCGCTGAATGGATATGAATCTCCTTTGGCTGCTGTCTTCTTGAGCTTGGCATAATGCATTATTCACTGCTTCACCGTGCTTATTCTGTAAATTGAGGCTGAGATGTACAGTGATGTTCATTCCATTATTCTTCTGGACTCATGGGACTCCATTGTAGATGAACAGAAACCACATGTTAACTGTTTATTACCTCTCCTTCTGTCTGTCTTCATTGTGCCGTTTTGTTTATCTCTTTCTTTTGCCGTAATTCTCTGACGTAGACGCTGTGGGAATATCTTTTCACACAACATCAAACCAGGCAGGAAGTTTCATTGTTACAATCTTGATGTCCTCTCTTATGTGCTCTGATAATAGTATTTGTGAGGTTTGCAGGCCTTTCTCATGCTCAAACCCCATGTGGATTGTCTTTTCCCAGACTTTTTGACAGTGTGTAATAACCTGTGGCACATGGATAGACTGACTTTCAGTGTCTTTTTGGAAAAGATATTAGATTGCAAATTCCCCTTTAACTTTCCCCACTGTTTTATAAGTAAAAGCTAAAACGTTATGCTTGTTCATTTTTGTCATTAACCAATATTTTAATCAGCTCAACCAGACTTGATTGCAGGCTATGATAGAAACAGTTTTTTGTTCATAAAACCTTTTAGTCAACAATTGTTAGAAAGGATTCATGGTAATGCTGTACAGATCATTTTGGGTCCTTCAGGAATATCATAGTCTTGAGACAGATTGCTGTAGACAGTGTTTTTTTTGTTTTCTTTCTGAGCTGGAGAATCGGAACCATAGTTTGTTATGCTGATGAAAACTCAAACCCACATACCATCGTTTACCATCACAAGCTCACAATGTTTCAGGATTCAATAGCGCTTTGTTTGCGTGGTTTGAAAAGCATTCTCAATTTTTTTTGCAGACTTTTACTTTTTTTTTTTTTTTTCACTGCAATGTGAGTATTTCAATTTACACATTGTTTGTATGTATGACTATTTACATTTTTTTTTTGAGCTAGAAGTCAAACATAGATTGATTTAAATGTTTGTAAAGGTTGTATGTTTGTTGTATGCGGAAATGATATCGCTAGTATTTAACGCTATCTATTCATGTCCTGGGGGAGAAAATGGATCCTCTTAAATGGGTCACGTCCCTGGTTCCAGGATCTAATCTCTGATTGGTTTTGAGATTGGGATAATATAGGTATTTAAAAGGCTGCATAAGATTGACTGTATATTTCTTGATTCCCATGAAGGTAAGCAGTTATTTTCATGTGGTGTGTGAAATTTGTAGCTTTTCAAAGACCCATGCGTATATACATAATAATTGTGGATGATACTTATTGTGTATGCTGCAATTTAAAAAAAATGTTGAAATTTTCTGCTTTTTTATCAATTTGACTAATATTTATTTACAGCTAATCATGGGAGCAAAACTTTTACTGGTTTGTTTTGTGATAATTCTGTTTTGGGGTAAGGCTCTATCTTTTCTTTGGATTATTTTTATTACATTTTTTATATGATAATATCTGTTAGTGTTATGTAAACACATTTCTTGATTTATGAATTAATTTAAATCATTTTCAATGAATCATTTAAATTTAAATATTTGATTATATATTATAACAATGTTGAAAGTTTTGTTAAATGCACTTATTTAATACCATTGTCTTCAAAACATCTGGTTACAATGATGGTTTTTCTCTTGACCTCTTAAAGATGGCTGCCAGGCTCGATCTGCAGGACAAGAATTTGCCACTGCGTTTATGCAAAATTATGTACCCTCTTTTGATGTGCCGCTCTTTCAGCTTTATATCACCTCTGTGAATTCTAATTGCCTGGTGAAGGTCAACGTACCTGGTCTTCGTTTCACCCAGGAGATGCAACTGACTGCTGCAGGTCAGGGCATCACTGTGACCCTCCCCAAAGAAGTCGAGCTGTCTGGCACCAAGAGGTCCCGCAATACTGCCCTCATTCAGGCAACCGATGACATAACGGTTTCCTCACTAAACTCAAAACAACACACGGCAGATACGTCCCTGGTCTACCCTATGAGCGAATGGGGCACTGAATATTTTGTTTTCACCCCTACTAATTCCCCTCCATCCATGCTGAAGGAGTTTGTGCTTGTCAACGGTAAAGAGCAGAACGCAGTGGAAGTGTTCCTTCGAGCGGCGGTCCGCTTCGAAGGCCGCTTGTATGGAGTCGGCAGTAAACTAATTTTGGTGATGGACCCTTTCGAAAATGCACAAATACAAAGCCAAGGAGACTTAACAGGAACCCGCGTATCCTCGCAACTTCCCATCGCCGTGTACTCGGGCCACATGTGCACGTGGCGCTTCTCTAAGTGCAATCACGTTTATGAGCAACTCCTGCCGGTGCAAAGATGGGGATCTCAATTCCTGGTGGCTCCGTTTAGCATCCAGAGCCAGTTTGACAGCGTCTATATCCAGGCATCGCAGTCAACGAATGTAACTGTTCAATTTGGTCGTACTATATTAAATGATGTACTTCAGCGTGGTATGATCATAGAATACAAAATCCAGTTTCCAAATGGTCTAAACATCATTGCTGACAGCAGAATCCAGGTGTTTTTTTTGTTTAATGGTGTGCGAACATCCTATAATGTGATGTACGACCCGTTTCTTGTAAATCTTCTGCCCAACAACCATTTCGGTTCTTCGTACGCACTTGATGGGATAGCTGGCTTTGACAACCGAGCCCTGTTGATTGTGCCTACAAATGAACAGTCAGGGATTCTTTTTGATAGCTTGCCTTTACCTGGAAGTCAGTGGAGGGTCATCAAAAACAGCCAGTACTCCTGGACTGAGCTGGTTTATCAACCTGGGGCAGGTGGCCACAAAGTAACCCATGCAAGTGCTTCTTTTGGGGTCTATAGTGTGGGAATCGAGCAAGTGAATGGATATGGAGCTCCAGCCCCATGCATTGATCCAGGTATGTCACAATTAAACACATTCCTCCTTTTGTTTAAAAAAGCTTTTACGTTTGTTGTTAATGTAGTATAGCCAGTCTTAAAGGGATAGTTCACCCAAAAAAATTGTCAGAAAATTCTGTCAACATTTACCTTGTTTTTCCAAACCTGTATGAGTTTCTTTCTTCTGTTGAACACAAAAGAAGGTATTTTGAAGAATATGGGTAACCAGATAGTTGACGGTAGCCATTGAATTCCATAGTAGAAAAAAAAAATACTATGGAAATGGCTACCATCAACTGTTTAATTACCAACATTCTTCCAAATATATTCTTTTGTGTTCAATAGAAGAGAGAAACTCATACAGGTTTGGAAAAACATAATGGTATGTAAATGAAGACAGATTTTTTTTGTGTGTGTGTCTGTGTAAACTATTCCTTTTAAGTAAATTGGGTCCCTTGTATAGTCCAACAATGCATTTTTAATAGCTAACACAGCTGTCTTAATTACTTTATTAAAACCATAGTAATCTCCTAATTGCCTAACTTTGCTACTTCAGCATCATGTTTATCTTCTGTTTTCACCATTTGTTGTAGTTGTGCCTCGCTCTTGCTTCAGCATCGGCTGTAGTCAGGATGAGGAGTGCCAGATGATGGGTTCCATCCCCACCTGTGTGAATAAACCAGTTGGATTGTGTTGGGCTATGGGCGACCCTCACTACAGCACATTTGACCAGAATTATTTTGACTTTATGGGCACTTGCACTTATGTCGTCACCAGGAACTGTCAGAAAAATGACAGTCTTCCAGCTTTCGAAGTCTTAGCTAAAAATGAAAACCGCGGCGACATGAGAGTCTCCAATGTGGCACTTGTAATTGTGAATATCGGCGGTATCACCATCAGCGTTAAAGGTTCCGATCCCGGGAAAGTCAGGGTAAATATTTTTATTTGTATTTATTGCATGGTTTTAGTACTAAAACTGCAACTGCAATATTGACAGTATTGTCTCATGTGAGAATATTAGCTTAGACCTCATAACTATTAAGCCAGTCATTTAAAAAAAGTATCAGTATTTTGTCTTATTTTTATAAACATAAACATCCTTATAATGATCAGTTTACTCAGTAAGCAAAATTGCATAAGAGATTAAGGGATTAAGCAAACATCTTAAAAAAAAAAGTGAGGCTTATGCTTAAACCAGAAAAAAAAAAATATTATAAAATATAATAATATTATAATAATAGAGTATATCCATGTGCAATGGCTTTTCAAACCAGAAAAAAAAATCAGACTTGTTTTATTGGTTTGTTGTATCGTTGCTGTTAGCACACTTAAACACACTTAAACATTGTCGCTTAAACACTGAAATATTCTTTAAAAAATAAGTACATTTTGATTTCATGGTGACTTTAAAGGTGCTATATGGAACTTTTCTTCTAAAATGAATGCTTTTTTTTATTGCCTGTGTGTGAAGGGGTTGTAATCACACATTATAATGATCCACTTGTCGGGTTTTGCTGAAGGCCAGTATTCCTATTTCTATGTAAAGTCTCCGGGTCGGATTTTCTGCGAAATCCATCGGATGTGACGTGCATGCACGCTCCCGAGCCTCTCTCCTTTTTATATACAGTCTATGCGACGGCACTACAGCTGACGACATGGAGTCTGATAACACCCAAAAACGACCTGCCTCCAGCACAACACACACTCCAACACAAACTCCACATAAATATAAAAAACAAAACAAAAATGTATCTGCTGAAGCTCTTCAGGCCAAACGTCAATCGGATCGACAGGACGAAAACACAGATCAACATCGGCAGAGCGTTTGAATTATGGAGAGACCTCCGCTATTTTTATTGGGATAAATTACAAGTTTTCAGATATGCTGAAATAAATAATGGTAAACTGTAATGAAATAGCAAGGTAAACTACAACATATATGAGACATGAAATGAATACAAAAGACTGTTCCAGGATAACAAAAAGTAGGTGCTTTAGGATGTAACTTTTATTTTATGTACTAGATGTACTGTCTAACGTCACTCATCCCAGTACTATCATATTGTTTATAATACACATTTCCAGACACGTTCAGTACAGTAATGTTACTTCCTACGATCTTACTGTTACACTGAAATTGTTCAGTCTAGTTCACTAACCGTTTTCGTTATTATATTATACATTCATCTATGTTGACATTGCTGCCTGAATGTGAAAGATACACGAATAGTTAGTGAAATGCCTTATGCTAGATAACACTACATGTCGGCTAAATGCAGTCAACGTAATGTTATCATGCAACGAGCATGGAGCATTAGTTCAATGTCAAGCTGATAAAAGTAGCCTATTATTGTAACGTTGCAGTGGGAGTTGTGTGATGCTTTCTCCGGTGTGTTGAAAGTCTCAGTGTGGCCGGTACCATGAGTGCTCGCTTGTGTTCGAACATGAGCACGAGCGCTCTTGTAAAAATTGGTTGCAATCTGAAACATCACCGATAGAGGCCGCTAAAAATACATATAGCACCTTTAATTGCTGATAAAAGCCTAAAACATATTTTAAGAGAAAATGCTTACAATCTAGAGCATTTTTATTGTAAAACAAGACAGAAAATACTGACTGATAATTGTTTGCAGTTTATTATACAACAATATGTTATTATTTGTACAGATTGACCAAAGTGTGTGGAGCCTTCCTGTCATTCTTGAAGATGTTGGAGTATCCATGTTCCAGTCCGGCAGCTTCATCACAATCCTTTTTTCTTTTGGGCTGAATGTGCAGTATGACTATAATCACTATCTCGTGGTCTCCATGCCCACTGCCTTCATGAACAAAGTCTGTGGCCTCTGTGGCAACTTTAATGGTGATCCCAATGACGATTTCACAATGCCTTCAAACACCCTGGCTCCCAATGCAACAGCGTTTGGCCAGAGTTGGAAAGTTCACAACTTAACATGGGATGAGGGCTGTAGAGATGACAATAGCGGCCATGAATGTGATGCTCAAGCACTTAAACAATGGGAGGGTGAAAACTACTGTGGACTCTTAATGAAGGGGCCATTCAGTCAGTGTCATTATGTTATCAATCCTGCTATTTACATTCAGAACTGCTTGTATGACGTCTGTTTGGCAGATGGCCACAGAAACTACTTATGTAATGTCTTGAAGGTCTATTCGAGTGTATGTCAACATTTTGGGATACAACTAACCAACTGGAGAGAAGCAGCCAATTGCTGTGAGTAATAGTATGATAAGCATCTTGACTTGACATTGTTCAGCAAAATTGTGATGTTTTCTTTCCGAATGTGTCTTCAGCTTACAGATGCCCTGAAAACAGTCATTATGAATTTTGTGGTAGCGCTTGCCCTTTGACCTGTGGCCTCAGGGCTCATTTGAACTGCACTTTGCCCTGTGCCGAAACATGCGCTTGTGATCCTGGTTTTGTTCTTAGTGGATCAAAATGTGTACACTCTGCCCAATGTGGCTGTTCCTACAATGGACGCTACGTTCCCGCTGGGGAGGCTTTCTGGGCGGATGATGCTTGCAAGCGGCTTTGTCGTTGCTCCACAGAAGGCGGACGACTAGAATGCCAAGATGGAGGCTGTGGGGCTGGACAGCACTGCCAGCTGGTGAATGGCATTAGGGATTGTTATCCTGTCTCCCAAAGCACCTGTATGGCAGGGGGCGACCGCCATTACTATACCTTTGACAAGAAGTACTTCAACTTCCAGGTACTATTCTATTGACACATAAAAGAACTGTGAAGTTTTTTCTACGTTATATATTTTCTGCAGCGTGTAACAACTAAAAATGTTCTTTTAAAACCTCTCTCTTCATGGCTTCTGAAGTGTAGGGATAAATAGTCATCGTGATTTTGTCAAGTAACACATGTTTCTGGATCAACTTATTTTGTTGATCCTGGAACAACATTTCTGTCTGAAAATTTTGTCCTAATCCTATCCCTACCCTTAAACCTAAACCTAACCCTACCTATAACTTCTCACTAAAATCAAAGGGGAAATGACAGGTGAATAACACTGATGTAGAAGCATCTAACCCTGGTTGTAACTCTAAACTTGTCCTTTAAATCTGATTGGTTGATTTGAATGTTGTTCCTGGATTAACAAAGATGTTGATGCAGGAACATGTTGCACTTGGTGTAATATAGTTGGTTTTTTTCTCCCACATTAACTACAAAAATATATTTTCTTCTGCCTGAATATTTCCTGCATACTCAAAGTGTCCTGGAAAGACAACATAAAAAAACTTAGCATGTAGTGTCAAAATGTCCATATGTTTGGATGAGTACCCTTTGAGTAAAATGATAGCATTATTATATTCTCCCTTCAGGGAAACTGTATATATCAGTTGGTTGGAGTTTGTGTCTCAGATCCTGGACTGGTGTCATTTGATGTGCTGGTGCAAAATGAGTTTCGGGGAAGCAGAGCGGTGACGTTCACTAAGTTACTGGAGATCAAAGTATATAATATCAGCATTGTTATTGATAGAGAATACAGCAGTGTTGTTACCGTAAGTTCTAGTTACTACATGCATTAAACCTCTGGCAAACAATTTTATCTTTCCAAATAGCTTGATGTTATCATTTAATGAGATGGATTTCTCTTTTAGGTCAATGGTGAGCTGTTGAACCTCCCTTTCAGTCTTATTGAAGGTCAGGTTTCAGTTTTCAGAAGTGGCTGGTCTGCTGTCGTTCAAACCTCTTTTGGTCTCAGAGTCACGTTTGATTGGAACAGCTTTGCCACCGTCACCGTCCCCAGCACCTACATGGGTGCCGTCTGTGGCCTCTGTGGGAACTACAATGGAAATCCAGAAGATGATCTGACCGTCAGAGGAACAACATTACCTTCCTCAGGACCGGTGGAGTTTGGTGCCAGCTGGCTTGTAGCCGAGATCCCAGACTGTGTCCATGGCTGCACAGACAGTTGTCTAAATTGTGACCCGGCCAAAAAGAGTCTCTATAAAACGTCTGATTTCTGTGGGCTGCTGCGTGACCCACAGGGGCCTTTCAGGGACTGTCAAACAGGGCTGAACCCTGAACCATTTTTTGAGGGTTGTGTTTACGATGTCTGTTTGTATAACGGAAGGAGAGATATACTGTGCCAGTCCATTACAGCATATATATCTGCCTGTCAGGCGATGGGAAAAACCATCAGCCCCTGGAGAACTGCTGAATTCTGTGGTGAGACCATACTGGCCGATTGTATCTAGATCCTTCTGAGAAACCGTATACAGTGTAATATTGTGTTCATACACAAGAGTTTTTGTAAGTCACTACTGTACCAGTTCCATTCATCTCAACAAAGGGCAACACATATAAAGCAGAGCTCAAAAACAAAATTGTTAAGGATAAAAGGGTGTTTTAATACATTCAACATAAGGGGATTAAGTTAATAATCAAATCTGACATGTAATCTAGTCTGAGGGTTTTCAAAGTGATTGGTCCCACAGACCTTATAGAGTTTTCATTGAAATGTTACTATGCTATTATACTATACTATTGTAATGAACCATTTAACAAATATATATTAACCAGTCACATGTCTGTCTCTTGTCAGGTGTTCAGTGTCCTGTTCACAGCCACTATGAGATCTGTGGTTCTGGCTGTGAAGTCACGTGTCATAGTTTGGCTCCTCCCACTGGCTGTCGTAGCCGCTGTACGGAGGGCTGTGTGTGTGACCAGGGTTTCGTCAGGAGTGGCGGCCGCTGCGTCCCCCTCTCTCAGTGTGGCTGCCTCTATGGCAAACGCTACTATATGCTTTACCAACAGTTCTATCCTGGCAATAACTGTGAGGAGGTGTGCACATGTACAGCGGATGGCCAGGTAAGTGGACACGCCAAAGTGATGTTAGGGAGAATATTCTACAGTTGACATTGTAATTGTGATTGGATTCGATTTGTAGGGTTATAAAGGGCTTGTTATCTTAAGAAAGGGTTTAGAGGAGTCATATAATGAGAAATCAAATTTTTCCTTGATCTTTTAATATAATAAGAGTTCAGTCTTCCTCCCTAGTTTATAAAGAGTATTTTAATATTTAATGCTATATACTGTATATATATTAAAAGACATGGAAATTTATAAGACATTTGATGTGGCACTTAATGTTTTACAGCTTTATCATATCTTGTTAGTTGTCTCTTTAGCTAGATGATATGAGGCTGAACCTGCTGCTTTTGCATCTATGTATTTCAGATCATTCATTTAAAGCCATCTCACAAATCTTGCACAATACAAAAGACATGAGTGCCCTGTGTTTGTTTCCACAGGTGGTCTGTAATAAGTTATCTTGTGGCCCCTATGAGAAGTGCGAGTTGATGGATGGCTTTCGCAGATGCCAGCCAATCGGGAAGGCCATTTGTGAAGCTGTTGGAGACCCACACTATGTGTCCTTTGATAAGCAGCGTTTTGATTTCCAGGGCACCTGTACCTACGTCCTGTCCCAATCCTGTGGCCTGGAACAGACCAGCCTGACCCCTTTCTCCGTCCAGGTGGAGAATGAGAGATGGTTGCCCAATAGCAAAGTCGCTGTTACCAAGCTAGTGGCCTTAACCGTCTACGGCATTACCCTCGTCGTAAGACAAAACGAGCCCCAGATGATGGTAAGTGGAGGTTTGTCTGCTTTTGTCCTTCAAATGCTGCTCAATGAAGCTCCCATAATGTCTGGTGATATGTGAATTTGAGGTTCTTAAACATGTGAAACTTTTGCTGTCAATGTAGTATGACTCTAATACAACACTCTTCCCACAGGTCAATGGGGTTTTGACTAATGTGCCGTACAGTTCAAACAGTTTAAATGGCTCCTTGGTCCAGGTCTATTTTGACGGTAGAAACTACATCATCGAGACCGGCTTTGGCCTCAAGGTAACCTACGACCGGGTTTACAAAGTTACTGTTACTGTCCCTGGCAACTACCGTGGAAAAACCTGCGGGCTCTGCGGTAACTTTGACGGAGTCCCTTCCAATGACTTCCGCCTCCCAGATGGCAATATTACACAGGACGTTAATGTATTCGGGAGAGCCTGGAAAGTGGACGTCCCAGGAGCGGTGTGTGGGGACGGATGTGAAAGCGGCACATGTGTGGACTGTGCTCCCAGACTGAAAGCCATCTATGAGAAGCATCCCTACTGTGGAGTTCTGGTTGACCCCAACGGACCGTTTGCCGCCTGTCATGCTGTGCTGAACCCTTCAGCTTATCTGGACGACTGTGTCTTTGATACGTGCGCGTCTGGCGGAAACAGCAAGGTGGTTTGCGACAGTGTGGCGAGATACGCTTTTAGTTGCCGTGCAGCTGGAGTCGTTATCCAAAAATGGAGGACAGACTCTTTCTGCCGTAAGTTTGTTCTTCTGGAGATTTTTATTTATTTAATTTTTTTATGATTTCTAATTTTATAATTAATCAAATATCACAGCAAAACAAAGAGAATATGTCCCATTAGGCAAAATAACTTTTTTATTTTTTAATTTTTATTTTATTTTATTATATATTAAATGCATAGTTGAAATGCACTACCGTTCAAAATATCGGTCGGAATAGGGTCGGAAACCCCGATAAGAATTACTTTTATTCGACAAAGACACACTAAATTCACATTCAATAAATTACATGTCAAAATTTATGAAGATAGTAGGCAGTTATTTTTAATTGTAACAATTTTTCACAATTTGACTGTTTTTACTGTATTTTTAATAAATAAATGAAGCCTTGGTGAAAAGACTTCCTTAAATTGAAGAATTAAAAAGAAATTGGGTCTAGACATGCAGTCACGACATTCTTGCTGAAATGCAATTTTAAAATGTATAAAACATTTTTAATAAATATTATTTTATATTTGAATATTTAATATAAAATTTGGCCAAAATGTTCCCAGAAAAATATTCAAAATATAAATATAAAATTTCCCATTTTTATTAACTTATTTATAAATATATTATAATTACTTGTCATGTCATGTCTGGGACCCTCCCTAGATCTTGGCATATTGTTGACTTAATTTTAATATTTATTTGCAACTATTATTCACAGTCTGATATTTAAACCAGTGTCTTTGCTATTTTATCATAAGTTTATTTTCTCGTCCAATCATGTCATTTCTTTCTTAATCATTGTCTTCCAGCAATGCCGTGTCCAGCTCGCAGTCATTATGAGCTGTGTGCAGACGTCTGCTCTGCTCCCTGTCCTGGGATCACTTCAATAACCCGGTGTCCTCAAACCTGCACAGAGGGCTGCGCTTGTGACAATGGTTATCTTTTTAATGGCCAACAGTGTGTTGAACACCAGCAATGCGGCTGCTATGGGCTGGGACGCACGTTTAAGGTGATTACTATTAGTTAATCGTAGTAATGTTGGATATACGCACAAATTAGCTGTAAGTGCCTATCTGGATTTCCTTCTCTTGTCCTGCACATGACCGAGTTTGTTTTTCCAGGCTGGGGAGGTGGTTTACCTGAACCAGTGTAAGCAGAAGTGTCAATGTGATCCAGGGAAGGGACTTTCCTGTGAGAGAGTCAACTGTCCTAACGACACACAGTGTTTACTGAGAGCGGGAGTGTGGGCCTGTTATCACCCAGGTCAAGATAAATGTCCTTTTATTAATTTTCTTTGTGTAAGGAATCAGTCAAATATGTTATTTTTTGGTTTTGAGTATATTGTGTTTATTACCAATATGCAAATTACAGGAAAAATGCAGACAAACAGCATCTGTAGTGTATTATTAAATAGCTGATTTTTATCGTTGTTTCTGCCTACAGATCCATGTCAAGACGTCCACTGTCGAGAGAAAGAGACCTGCCGGTTTGAACGTGGCAAGGCCGTGTGTGTGCCTCTGTACAACAGCACCTGCTGGGCGTGGGGCGATCCGCACTTCCACACCTTTGATGGATATGAATATGACTTCCAGGGCACCTGCAGATACGTCTTGTCCAAGACCTGTGGGAATCTGAGCGGACTGGTGCCTTTCTCTGTGACACAGAGCAATGAAAACCGTGGCAACCCTCATGTGTCTTATGTGCGGGAGGTGGAGGTTATTGTATATGGCAACACTCTTACCGTGCTGAACCATCAGAAGGGACTGATCATGGTAATGAGTCACTTCAGATATTTTAAAGATACAAACTCGCTGTCATCTATCAAAGTATGATTTTAAATTCATGATATGAACAGATCTACTCAGCCTGTTTGTCTTTACAGCAGTGCCTTTTTTTTAGATAAATGAAGATGAACCAAAAAACAACCTCAATTATTCATTTCATGAATGGAGTCAAAATCAAAAATAAGCTTTTATCTTAGTATAAATTTGTATTGATAACATACTTTTTATATTTAAATGTTAGTATATTCATTTTAATATAATATTAACTGAATAAAAAAATAAAATGGTTTATCACTTCTATGATCCTGTTAAACAGACCCCAAAACAACAAGCAAAACATCAACTATATCCAAACCACGTAATAAATAAATAATGGAAAACGTTTGGAAATGTTATTAAATATTTTTGAAACGTAAAAGATTTTTTGAATATGTTTAAATGTATTAAAATATATTATAGATGTTTATTTTTCCAAGAATATTAAGCTAATTTGTGCAAATGTTAAAAAGAGAATATATAAACTAATTTGTTTTGAAATTTGGAAGTTTAAACAAAATATTTGTATCATTTGGAAAATAATATTTCATTTCAACTATGCTGTTAATACTTATTTGTCAAATATATTGATATTGATATTTTTTCCTGTGTTGAACATAACTGTTTTGTTTAAATATTATAATACTTTCCCACAAAAATAATAATAAACAGGAATCCTATTTTTTTTAAATCATATTAAAAAAAGTATTTTACATTAGATTAAAATAGAATAGAATATATATTTTTTGTCAACCGGAGTGGAAATTTGTCTTTGGCCAACCAAAACACAGAACAACAACTTAAGAAACAGACAGGCAGTAATAAAACAATATTAAAAGTAATAAAACAGAAATTAAAAATCATAATCTCTTTAATGATTCTGATTTCTTCTGTCAGGTGGATGGTTTGGTGTTTAATCTTCCACTTCATCTTCATGATGGCCGTGTGAGGGTGCGAGAGATTGGCAACGCTGCGCTTTTGGAAACTGATTTCGGTCTGCGCGTCTCTTACGACTGGAACTCAAGGGTTTACCTGCAGCTGCCTAGTAGTTACTATGGAGTTGTGTGTGGCCTGTGTGGAAATTTCAATGGGAATGCTGGAGATGAGCTGAGAAACCCTGCTGGAAACCCTCTGCCAAGTGTGTACCAGTGGGCAAAGAGCTGGAGAGCAAAAGACAATGTCACATCTGCATGTCATGATGGCTGTGAGACCGGCTGCCCTGTTTGCTCTCCTGACAAACGTGCCCTGTATGAAACAGACGCTTTCTGTGGTGTCCTTACTTCTACAGATCTGAGTGTCTTTAGTGCATGTCATGCTAAAGTGAACCCACAGGCCTTCCAGCAAAGCTGTGTGTTTGACCTGTGCTTCAGTAACGGAGACCGAGGAATGCTCTGTCAGGCTCTGGAGACCTACGTCGCTCGGTGTCGTCAAGAGGGCGTCATTATTACAGATTGGAGAGAGAAATTTCATTGCCGTAAGTTTGCCTAAGCACTCATAACGCACACGTTTGTATACTTGGTCACCATGAAATCAAAATGGACAATTGTTATTTTTCAATGGAATATCACAGTGTTTATTGTAAAGGATATATCCGTGCACATCATTATTTTTTATTTTAATTCATTTCCATCTTGTAACGAGTTTTCTGATGACGTGTTTGTCGGGGAATATACAACAATCCAATTAATTTCCGTTGTTCAAGAAGCCATTCTACTCAGATACACGTGACAATAGGGAAGAAAAGAGAAAAGACTATCACAACTTCCGTTTTATGACGACTTTAGTCATTGGCTAATACATTTTTAGATTTCACTCTCCTGTGACGGAATTAAAAGGTAAGAATAAGTTTAGCTGGATTTCAAACACACTTTGAGTGTTTGAAATCCAAGCAGCAATCTGATTGGCTAGTGCTAGTGCTATTACTGTACATGTTTTGATTTCAGCAAATCAGTTCAAGCAAACACAGTGTAATTAATATTCATGAGCCGAGCAAACATTAGAGTGTGTTATATTATTATTAGTAGTAGTATTATACTAGTACAATCTGTAGTAGTATTATTAATTACCGAGTTCTGGTATGAAACTCTAGATGGCGCAGGCTGATAAGTCTTTGACTCATTTGGTAGCGATCACATCAGGGGCGGAGTGGGACCAAAAAATCTACCGGGAAATTTCGTAGACCACCGGCCCTCGTCGCCGGCAGGGCCGGATTAAGAGTTCAGAGGCCCCTGGGCACAATGTCTTGTAGGTCCCCTCTTAGGCAGGCCAAATGCATATTATGTCCAAGGACATTTTAATATGGCATTTACAGTTTTAATTACTTAAAAGGAACTTTGTTGTACTATGCTGGATTAAAGTTCATAAATGGTTGTTCTTTCACATAGGATTTTGTAAAACTATGTTGGATGGACCTCTGTGCCTCTAGGGGGGTTCGTGCTCCCCCGCAAGAAAATTTTGTACATTTTAAGGTTAAATGCATCAATCTGGTGCTCTTTGAGAGATCAAAATCAAGAGCTTCAACCCATGAACTGCTCATTGAACAAAGAAAAAGCATTGATTTGTCCCTGGACATTAAAGCATCTTTTTAGTTATGAGAGTCTCAGTCTACATTACATTATCAATGGTGTTTTAGGATGCCAAACAATTATTATAATAATGTAATAATGATTTATATAATTATTCCTATGACGTAAAATCCATATAGCCTATAAATGTACTGTATAAATGAAAATGAATATTTCCAAAGTATATTTTAGCCTACATTACACTATAGTATAGGAAAATTAAAATACTTTTGTCCTAATTTCTTCACTTGCAAGAAATAAACCCTTGAGCTTTTATTTAGGAGAAAACACCAGATCGCCATGCTGATCGCGTGAGCAAAGAGCGCACTTTTCTTTCAATCACGCATCACAAACAGAATGCCTATATAGCTAGGCTACTTAAAGTCTTGTGCTGTTTTATAAAGGCACAAAGCCATATCATGGTTTCGATTTTAGTTCGTTGTTAAAATATTACGCTAGAGACCTTTATGGTATAGACGGTACAGTTTACATCTCATATGTGTTGGGAAAAGGGGGAAGAGAGAGTTCGGCAAAAGGCGGATTCGAACTCGGGTCCAACACGTCAAAAGCTGCATTCAAGCACTACACACCCTACCACCCACGCCACTGTAGCTATTTCATAACTGGCGTCTTTTTGCTAAAAAGACAGGCACTTAGTGCAAATACGCTCCGTTATCGAAAATGTAAAAAAACGGGGTTTTTTTCCCTTGCTTGGGCCTCAAGTGCGCATGGCTATAACACTTAACATCGTATAACTATTATCAGACCGGCCCTCGCGGGCCTCGAAACACTACCGGCCCAACGGGGAAACTCCCGACTCTCCCGATTGCCACTCCGCCCCTGGATCACATTACCTACATGGCACAGCTGATCAGCTGCTGCTTAACATTCAAACAAATATCAAGGTGTGGCTGGTAGCAGTATGTAGCGCACTTTTAGAAACCCTCCACCTTCCCCAGCTCAACCTGTATAGATCTGCTACAGGGTTAAATCATGTATGTTACCTGTGCAGCAGCATTTCATACATGCTCACAGCAATGTTTGTGAATGTACTGGCAGTAGCAAGTCTCTGTACTAACCCTGAACCTCTTCTTGTTCTTCAACAGCTATGAGCTGCCCGCCGAACAGTCATTACGAGGCCTGTGCTTCTCCGTGTCCAGTAACGTGTCCGTACCCAGATCAGCAGCGTTATTGCACTGACACCTGTGTGGAAGCTTGTGTTTGTGACAGCGGTCTTGTCCTCAGTGCTGGCGCTTGTGTGCCCACCAATCAATGTGGCTGTTCTTTCGAAGGCGCCTACTACCAACAAGGCCAAGCGTTCTGGGCTGATGATCAATGTCATCGGCTGTGCGAGTGTGACCGTAACTTGAGAGTCGTGGTGTGTCGTGAATCTTCCTGCGCCTCTGGTGAGAGCTGCTCGGTGGTTAATGGAAGACGCAGCTGTCAGCCAATGAGCTCTGCTGTATGTGTAGCGTCAGGAGACCCACATTACCACACGTTCGACGGACTCCGTTTTGACTTCCAGGGCACGTGTGTGTATCAGTTGGCGGCCCTGTGCATTGATAAAGAGGGTCTTGTACCTTTTAATGTGACCATTCAGAATGAACATCGTTGGAGAAGAGCAGTGAGCTTCACTAAAACTGTGAATGTGTCTGTGAATGGATTCACCATCACAATGACCAGAGAACATCCGTATCGAATCCTGGTGAGTACGCAATAAAGACTTACACACCTTATATACTAGTGGGGTTGAGAACCGTTCTGGTTTAGAATTAGTTTCATTAAAAAAAAACTGGTTCTATCAATGATTCACTCACTTGCATTCAGAGCATTTTAGCATTTTTTGCTTCTATTTTTTTTTGCAAGACGGTTAATTTTATTTTATTTTTTTGTGCACTAATGAATTAAATTACACAAGAGACTAATTAAGTCTTATTGCAAAACAAATGACACTGAGTTAGTTCTTTTAGTGAATCAAATCTAAACAGAACAACAAGTACAGTCAAATCCCCAAGTGTAGTGAGTTTCACAAATAAAGGACTCTGATCTGGTTCGTTTCAGTGTATCAAATCCATACAACGCAAACACTGCGGTTCAATTCCTAAAACAGAGACTTTGATTCAGAATTAGTAAAAAATTATCATATTATTATTAAAAAACATTCAGTGTAGACCATACAATCCCTTAACGACTCTTCTGAGCTTGTTGATTTTAGTTATATAGCACTACGTTATATTGCAGTTCAAGCTAAAATTAGACAAAGATGAGTTTTGTCAGTAGTATTTAATACAAATTATGAAATATGATACCATATTTTTTATTTCTTTCGCATTTTTATAAAAAATATAAAAGGCCAATTATTGGATTTCTCCAATGTGAAAAGTCATTCAAATGTCTGTATAAAAAACAAAGAGTTGTTTTACAGATTTATTAATTATTTATTTAATCCAATTAATTTGCAGTTTTTTCCTAAATATTTTTGCTTCAAAAATACTAAGGAATCATTAATGGATCTGTTTGAATTGGAACTGGAATTGGTTCTCTGGTCAACACATTATTCAAACAGTTTTAACAATTAAAAAATGATCAATAAATCCCTTTTTGATGGTAACCAAATGTGTTTTATTGTCTCTTTAGGTTGATGGCCAGTTAGCAGAACTTCCCTTTTCGATGCGAGGTGTGTTTGTATTTTATTATGGTAACACTGCTGTGTTGAAGACAAACTTTGGTCTCCAGGTGACCTTTGACTGGTCCAGTGTGGCTAAGGTCACTTTGCCTAACAATTACAGCGGTGCAGTGTGCGGCCTTTGCGGGAACTTCAACAGTGTTGTTCAAGATGACCTTGCAATGCGCAATGGTATGATGGCACCCAATGCCAGTAGTCTGGGACAGAGCTGGCAGGTTGCCGCAACACCTGAATGTTCGTCAGATGGTTGCCTTGGCACTGGATGTTTACCCTGCCCTGCGACCCAGAGGGAGAACGCCCGGCGCTATTGTGAGATCATCGCAAACCAGACAGGACCTTTCAGAGAATGTCACGCCCAGATTGATCCTGGATCTTATCTAGAGGATTGCATATTCGACACCTGCAACTTCGAAGGACATCAGGCTGTGTTGTGTGACGCGCTGGCAGTCTATGTTTCTGCATGTCAGAGTCAAAGTGTCACAATTCACCCGTGGAGAAATGCTACTTTCTGTCGTAAGTAATTGACTGATTTTTTTGGTCTATAATTGCCCCTATTTATGCTATTTTAAAGGTTAATAATAATAATTAAAGGTTTTAATTTTGTTTTGGAGGTGTCCAACAATAAGTTTACATGCATCAAAGGTCAAAAAACACTTTCATTTTCTCATAATATACATTGGACAGGACATCACCACATGTATCTAAGAGTCTGAAAACAGTTTGTTTGAAGATCCAGTATCTTTAAAGGGGTCATATAATGCCATTTTTGTACAAGCTAATATGATTCTTTAGGGTCTAAATTAAAAGTTTGTAATATACTTTAATTAAACATTCTCATTAGTATTGTAAGAAAACACTTATTTTACCTGGTCAAAAACAGCTCTGTTTTCAGCACGCCGTTTCAGTGTATATGACTTTAAATGATGATGAGCTTTGCTCACCCCGCCTCTCTGTTCTGTGCGTACACCGTTTGTAACTCAATAACACAATAAACATAATGCGTTCTTCAGTATAAACGTGGGATTATGAATTATATTGAGAACGTCATACATAGAAAACATGCCGTAATGTACCCTGAGTGTAAACCTTAGACTGATTCATTGTGAAGCGTGCAGCTAGGGATTTGCAAAGATTAATATATTAATATAAAGTTTAATAAAAGTTACACTCACTTCCGTTCTTCTGGAGATTCAGCAGGAACACGAATAGCTGGTACCGATCCTTTTTTTATGAGCAGCTTCTTAGCAAATCCAGCTTTATACTGATCCTCGTTTATAAAGCAGTCTGGTGTGTGAAATGATTTGCGCAAACATGAAAGCATTGACGTTGCTCCTGGGGAATATTCCATTCGAAAACAAACACAGCCACTGCGTCTTCAGCGGTTCGGATTTAGGAACATTAAAATGACTGCTGTGTTCGTTATTGCACCCAAGAACAGAACACCACAATCGCTTAGACGCCATTCTGCTCATAGACAGTGCTCCAGCATATCAACAATGACGCGCAGACTATGATTGACAGCTGGCTCACGAGCGAGGGCGGGTCTGTGTTAAAACGCTGCTGTCAATCAACAATCGTGGGAGGGGTGTGCGAGCTTGTGACGTCACAGGCTCGAACGGCTTGATTTGAGGCAGGGGAAAACATATAAGGAGATTAAAACAAAACCACTGGATGCATGTACCATTAAATGACCCCTTTAAACCCTTCCTTTCCGAGAGCCTACTCTGCTCTGATTGGCCAGACTGCCCAATCTGTTTTGATTGATGCAGCGGTAACGCTTCCTTTTACAGTCCTGTTACCCATAGGTACTTATTATAGTAATTACAATTACCGAGTAATAACTAGGTACTAACCCTCAACCTACCCCTAACCCATGTACTTACCTTATATTAGCCAGTACTTTCTAGGTAAGTACACTGTAAGTACACGTAAGTACTGTACTGTAAAAGGAAGCGTTTACAGCGCATGTTTTTCCGTATAAATTCCTCATCCTTGCGTGGAAACAAAGTGATTCGCAGCGCTGAAAACAGCATCTTCTCGGCATGCCAGCAACACGAACCAAACTCTTCCAGTCTCTGCTACAGCTACAGTGTTTGAGGGAGGGTCAAAGTAGATGTTCACAGGGCAGTCAATGAAGACCATAGGTGAGCATTATGCAAATTTGTTACATAGGTATGTAACAGGAAGTGAAACTGGAAATGCTTATGACTCGTTTCAGCAGTTCAGAGTCGATTCTTTCTTTTATGAGACAAAACCTTCATTTGTTGTGTACTTTGATCTTTGAAACTTTGCAGACCTTTTACATTCACAAACAGCTATATTACACACTTCATTACAGATAATAATAGGGGGGAAAGTGTATTAAGGGCACTTTAATATGTGTGTTTGTTTGATGAAAAATGAAACCGTTTAAATAACTGAGCTCGAATCAGTGTTATTCTTGTCAACAAAATAGGCTTTATGCCGAGCGTCACGTGACCAAGCCGGAAAACAGATCACATCGTTTCCGATTCAGGTCTTTTGTATGTGCTTCGTGACATTTTTTTGCGGTTTTACTCAAGATAACTTAAAAGGAGCAAGCAAAAATGAGCATAACCAATGTCCCTCGCATGTCCAGATTGATATTTAAAAGTTTTTTCATTTTTCTTCTTCACACTAACGTTTAGATATTTAAATAGCATAAAATGCCAATTACAAAGTGAACTTAGTAGGTTAGGTGATTACCTTAAAAATCCATAGATATCGTTCTCTGACAAGCGGATGCAATGAGACCCGTTTTCCGGTTTGGTCACGTGACGCTAGGCATAAAGCCTATTACTGCCAAACGTTTAACAATGTTTTTTGTTGTTGTTGGTGTTGTTGCAAAAGACTGTTTTGTTTTTTGTGAAATGTTAAATTAATAAATAAAATGTTTGAATATTTGCACAACTAAAATGTAATTTACAAAAATTAGATGCTGATTTATTATAATTCTGACTTGACTAAATTTAAAGCATTTTTGGTAAAAAAAAAAAAAAAACTCTTTTATTTTTATATTTGTATGTGCTTTTGTCATTTTTTGTATTTTTTTATATATTGCTATATAGCTTTTATTTATTTATTGCACTTTTAGTAATTGTCCTTGGCAACAAACTAAAATAAAGAAGATTAAGTACTAAGTTAGTTGTACATTTACAAATTTACAAAAGTTCTTGGTGTTTCAAACCTGTATGACCAACGCATTCTCATCCCAAGGCGTCATATACTGACGCTTTTGCCAAAGCGTCTACATCCGACGGCGCACATGGCACCCTTTAGCGTCAATATAACACGCTTCGGTTATGGGTAAGTTTAGGTCTGGGGTAGTGTTAGGGTTAGACCCATGGGCGTCAGTTTGGTTTGAAATGTGGGGGGGACAGAGACGCATTCGGAAGGGCATTTTCAAAAGTGCTGGGTACAATGACGCGTTCATTCTTTTTTCTCTTTCGCGCAGGTCATGGTTTGAAAGACGCCGATGTCCTGTAGCTTACTGATTTAAATAAATAAAAATGTATACAAAGATGTGATGATGTCCGACCAAAAATGTGATGGTACTTTGGGTTTAAATTTAATATTATATTAAGATCTAATATAATGTTGTTAGTATCGTGAATTTTTACGTGAATATATATATATAGATCCGCCTGCGATGCGTATGTACTGTAATGGTCCAGTGGCAGAATTTTTGCCAAGCGTGTCGGAGGTTGAGGGTTCTAATCCGCACTCGTATAGTTTTTTTCCCCACATCAAAACCGATAATTGTATATCAAGAATCTTGATATACTTTATCACTGATAAACATTATCGGTTTTGATGAGGGGGAAAAAAAACTATACGAGTGCGGATTAGAACCCTCAGAAGCAGGGACACGTTTGTGTGCATTTTGAATTGTGATTTCTCTGGAACGAATAGAATCTCTGCAACGGATTGAAGCGCGCGTCCGAGTGAAGACAACACATTTCAGCGCTAGATCGCCTCTTATTTAACAAATGAATTAAACGAATGCTGCTAGTTAACTAGAGATTTTTTATTTGTATTGGTACATCCGTGACGCGAGATGTTTCAAAAGTGGTGGGGACAATATCGACCCTGGCAAAAAGTGGTGGGGACATGTCCCACCCGTCCCCCCCGTAAATGACGCCTATGGTTAGACCACTTGGAGGCGCCATATATCTGCGTCACATATTGTCGCTAAAGGGTTCCATGTGCGTTGGATATAGACGCTTTGGCAAAAGCGTCAGTATATGAAGCCTTGGGATGGGAACGGGCTGGTATGACTTTCTTTCTTCTCAATAACTTAAAAGAAGATGTATTTTAGAAGTATCTCAGTGTTTTTTTTTTGTTTTTTTTTGTCTATACAGTGGAAGTCAATAGTCACCAAAATATCTTTTCATAATGGTTTGGAACGACATGAGGGGGAAGTAAATTAAATGTTTGTGTGAACTAAGTTTTTCATCTAATTTATACATTGTATTTAAATGACAAAAAAACAAAAATTTTAATAGTTTTACTTTTAGTGAACATACTGTATGTGCATAATCCAAAAGGCGACTTGCATTGCATTTAAGGTACACATTTTATCAGTTCTTGCTTTTCTCTGGGAATCAAATCCCTGACGTTGCTGTTGCTATCACCATTCTCTAATGTTAGCAATTACAACACTGATCAAAATACAAAAACGGACTAAAATAAAAATGAACAATGTCTCCAATCTGTCTATCACAGCTCCGTCCTGCCCACCCAACAGCCACTACAACCCCTGTGCCCCAGGCTGTCCCGAGACCTGCGTTAATCTCTCTGAGCTCAACTGCAGCAGACCCTGTGCTGAGGCCTGCCAGTGTGATCATGGATACATCTTGAGCGGCCAAACCTGTGTGCCACAAGCAGAATGTGGCTGCTTCTATCAGGGACGTTATTACAAGAAACACCAAATGTTTTACGTCCATGAGCAGTGCTTGGAGCTCTGCAGGTGTGGGGAAAATGGAACCGTTTCCTGCCAGACATCAAGTTGTGGACCAGGGGAAGCTTGCAGGCTGGTGAATGGAGTATTAGGATGCCATCCTGTCAGTTACGGAAGATGTGTCGCCACTGGTGACCCTCACTATTTTTCTTTCGATGGTAGGAGGTTTGACTTTCAAGGCGCATGCGCTTATACACTCGCTAAGGTATGTGATCGGATCGGGGGGCGGCTGGTGGATTTTTCTGTGGAAACCAAGAACGAGCAGATTGGAAACATAAGAGTTTCTGTCATCAAGAACTTGACTGTGAAGGTCTACAACTTTAAAATTATCATCCAACGAGGTGAACGCTGGAGAGTCATCGTAAGTGTTCATCTAGTTTACAATTTTATATTGTAATAATATTCCACAATATTAGTTTTTAACTATATTTTTGATGAAATAAGCAAGAGGCAATCTTACCAATCTCAAACTTTTGAACAGTAATGTATATACCACTGTATAAAATAATGCATATATGTAAAAAAGTAAGATCAAATATGAATATATAAAATGTTTAATAAGTAACCAATATGAAAGAAACTAAAAATATAAAATAAAATGGATAATATGTGCTGATAATTCACTTATTTCTACTTTAAAATTAAGTAGAAAAATTAAGCTGAAATCATGTTTGCTGTTGGTTCTCTTTGACAGGTAAATGATGAGTTTGTGAACCTCCCTACATCGCTTGGCCATCAAGTCACCATTAACCAGGTTGGTTTCACTGTCGTAGTGCAAACTGATTTCGGATTGAGAGTTCTGTATGACGCTGGTTACCATGCAGAAGTCCATGTACCCTCAAACTATCAAGGCAGCATGTGTGGTTTGTGTGGCAACTACAATGGCAACCCAGCCGATGACTTCTTGTTGCCCAATGGGACCCAAAGCTCCAGTGTAGATGCGTTCGGACAGGCGTGGGGATTGCCGGCAACTGGTGTTCAGTGCGGAGACAGAGATTCCCAGAAGCAGTGCAATCAGACCGAAGCCGAGAGATACCGCAGAGAAGATGCCTGTGGCCTTATGGCAACTGCCGCTGGTCCCTTCAGTGCATGTCATGCTTGGGTGAATCCTCAGCAACATGTGATTAACTGTGTATTTGACATGTGTGTTATGGATGGAGACAGAGCCATGCTATGTCAAAATCTTCAGGCGTATGCCATTATCTGCCAACAAGCAGGGATACCAATCATGCCATGGAGAAATAGTTCATTCTGCTGTAAGTTTGTAAAGCTAAAGCTGTTTTTCTTTTTACCACTTTATTTAAGCTTTGTATCAAATCAATATGTTACATATAACCATTGTTGGGGAAAGTTACTTTTAAAAGTAGTGTGTTACAATACTGCATTACTTCCTAAAAAAGTAACCAATTGCTTTACTTGGTTACTTTACTTTTGTTATATTTCCCGACCTTTTCCTGACATATTTAATTAGTGCAGGTTTGGGCAATGTTCTGAGTTTGCATTTGACTGTTTTTGTTCATTTTGAGGAATACTGAATCTGTTTTTGTGCGAGTGAGATGAGTAAATGCATGCTCACATTTAGTCTAGATCTACAATAACTTTCATGTTCACACACAGCACACACAACTCCTAATAAATAATATATATTGTGCATTTTCTTCCTTTAAGGGGCCGATTGTCCAGCTAACAGTCACTATGTACAGTGCTCTAATAACTGTGCCAACACCTGTGCCAGCCTTAGTGGGTCCTACAGCTGCCCAAATATTTGCATGGAAGGCTGTCAGTGTGATGAAGGTTTGCTCTCAGATGGTGAGAAGTGTGTGTCCTTGGGAGACTGCGGATGTGTCCATAATGGCAAATACCTAAAGGTGGGATTTATTGCTTTTCTTAAATCCATCAATGATCGTTTCTGTGTCTGATAAGAGCTGCTTATCCACTTTTTTTTACAAACCTTTGTCACAGATTCTATGATTCTCCAAATTAACTGCCAGTCATTTTAATGTCTTTTTAGAAATATTTAAATAAATCCATTGTTCAGTGTCTTTTGATTAACTCGAAACATTGTTCAAGCTGACATGTGCAATATCTGCAGAATAATGATAATGTCATCCTACCTATATCATCCTACTTGAAGTTGTCTGATTATATTAAACTGAGATAAGAAAATTTATTTTACACACACACACACACACTTATATATTGCATTTCAATAATAAATGTGATGGTGCAGGGAACTATGGGTAAGCTTTTCTCTCCTCTGTCCTCTTAGGTTGGCGAAGTCTCAGTGACTGACACCTGCGACATGAAGTGTGTGTGTCATTCCGCGGGGGTGCTGGAGTGTGTGAAACAAGCCTGTGCCAGAGGAGACATCTGTGATGTTCAGGGTGGCAAACGAGATTGTTACCCTGATCAAGGCCACTGTGTATTTGATGCAGATGACCAGTTGCAGTCATTTGATGGTGTAAATGGGACGGTTGACCGGCCAGGATCCTTTCAAATGGCTTTCTTATGTGATCAAGAGTCTCATGACTGGTTCCGTGTGGTGTTAGATGCACTTGCATGTGCCAGGAATGATCCTGGTAAAGTGACAATGGTCCACGTCTTCTTCCAGGACATGATCATCACAGTCAACAATCGTCGGCACAGCTGGGTCAGTGGAATATGTTTTTAAAGATTATAAATAATCGTGGTACATTAACCAGTCTTAAAATATTTGATTCAAAGAAATAAAAAGTGGTGGTGACAGAGAACATATTTATCTTATTGAAACAGGTGAATGGAAAGAAGGTCTCATATCCCTTTATGCCTGAAGAGGGGGTGTCAGTCTCATACAGAAATGAGGCCGTGGTCATTGAGAAGATGTCTACCATGAGACTGACTTACTCTGTCACTGGAGGGGTCGTGTTATCCGTAAACAGAGACCTGACAGACAAAGTTTGTGGCGCTTGTGGCAACTTTAATGGAGACACTGCAGATGATATGAGAACTTCTGATGGGAGAAACTCCACTATGTTGTCTCTGGTTGTATCATCCTGGCAGGCTGAAGACTTCTTTACATGGTAAGTATTTTACGTATAATTTTTGACAATAACAAAATAGGCTAGTTTTGTCACCTAAAGCCATGTAATTGTGGCTAACCTATCAGTCAATGTCAATGGCTAACCTATTACTCCTCTTATGCTTTTATTACAGTGATGTGTAACAAACCCGGGCAAGATTTTGTTACCAAAGAGATTTCTAATATAGAAATTGTAAATTATATTTAATTGCACATTGGGTTTTAGAATGACGCTTTGGTGTAAACTGAATGATTTCTACATAGGGCTACTATGTTTTTAGTCTGATCGTACTTCTGCACATGATTTAAGATTATGCACATTAAAATACACGCCTGAAATCTACCTCCAAAATTGTGATCGTTTTTCATATTTCTTTTCATCTTGCTTAAAGCTACACTGTAATTTTTTAAGCTGATTCTTAGCAAAATTATGTGCTCATTCATATGGTGTTACTTCCACCAACTAATCAAGTATTTCTCGTAAGCGTAGAATCTGCCATTCAGAATACATAGGAGCGAGTCGCTCGAATGGCGGCAGCCATGTTGCGCCTTCATCTTGAAAATACATTAGCCAAAGAGGGACATACTTCAAGCTTCGCCTTTCACGCTTGCCGTGACGAATGCGATGGGGAGATTACTTGCGACTGCCGGCAGATTTGAAAGCCTGTTGAAGATGGAGGATCACGCCTATTCTCGAGGACATGTAACAGAGTCACCAAGGAAGCGAAAGAGAGAATTAAAATGACAACACGACAGGCAAATCAACAAGACCAAAGTCAATATTGGAGTGGCTTTTCCTAGATGGAAAGAACTCATGAGGAGCAAGGATTTTAAAAGGGACGCCAAAGTTGCCTGCTTTCTTCTCAACAGGTAATTCAGCCTATTTGAGTAAATTCAAACTTTTGTAGTTGCTTGGCTAACTATAGCATGGCTGTGCATAACGCCAGAACGACGTCTAGGATACTTTTCCTCGCGTCAATGATGAAAAAGGATTGTTTATCTTCTAACATAAATCTGTGTGCTGTGACGGATCACAGGCGATGAATAGTTTTACTGGCGCCATTTGTAGGCTATATCACAGGACACTGTAAATTTTTGTTATTTTTCATTGCTTTTACTTAGTACACAATGTAGCCTAATCTGATAATGCTGGGGTAGCATCACATTGAAAGGTCATGCTCGATGAGATTTAAAAACCCAGGATACGCACACATAAGGACCATTTTAAACAATAATATGACACAAAGACATAAATATGTCATTCAACATACAATACAATTTGAACTATCCTCCTTCGCACGGTCGCTTTGTAAACAGTGGGGTGGTACTTCTGCCGGCGCCAGCGACATCGAGCGTGACCTTTCAACGTGATGACGTAGTTCCCGGCGCGTTACAGATCAGCTCAATCCGAACAATTGTAGTTAAAACGTTTTTTTCTTTTTTCTTTTTAGGGGGGGGGGGGGGGGGGGAATTACTTATCGTTTTGCTATAAGACCCTCTTACTCATGAAGGTTGTGCTGCTTTGGCTTTGGCTCTGACATCAAACCTCTCACGGCTGAAAGAGCTGAATCTATCTAGCAACGTCATAGGAGACTCAGGGATGAAGCTGCTGTCTACTGCACTGGAGAATCCCCACTGCAAACTAGAGACACTAGGTTAGAGTCACAGTGATTAAATTACTCTGCAAGTCAAACTCAGGAATCACAATTCTGTCTATGGGTTGTGTATCAGAGAAGATGTGTCTTTGTTGCCTCTGCAGCTTGAATGATTGTGGTGTCAGAGATGAAGGTTGTGCTGCTCTGACATCAAACCCCTTACACTTGAGTAAGCTGCATCTATCTGGTGTAGGATTACAAATTTATTTAAATGTTTAATTTAGGTTCCAGTACAATAGTATATAAACTGAGAAAGTCTAGCAGACTGAATTTCGCATTTGAGGTATAAATGAGCAGATTACTGAGACTCTTTGTCTTTAATGGCTCTGGGAGCCCCTGGCTAGATCTGGGGTGCGTTTCCCGAAAGCATCGTTATCCAACTATAATCGCAATTCCCATTGAACTCTATTAGCTACAAGTTAACTCTATTCTACAAGTACTCGGAGCTTGCTGCCGAGTGCCGGGAGGCTGGCTGGAAGACGACCATCCACCCAGTGGAGGTCGGATGCCGAGGTTTCCTTGAGGTGTCAACCATACGCCTCTTGAGGGAAGCAGGAGTGGCCGGAGGGAGGCTAAGGAGGGCAACAAAGGATCTGGCAGAGGAGGCAGAGAAAGGTAGCTTTTGGCTCTGGCTGAGGAGGAAAGATAGGTGTTGGGGGAAGAACATCTAACCCCAGATAACAGCAGCAGGGAGAACAGCTATCAGCTGCAGGGGGTGACAGGGAGACGTCCCTGTCACTGCTCCGCCACCTGGAGACGTTCCAGAATTAAAGGAGCGAAACGTCGGTGAACGGTGGTTTCTGGCTGATGACCCTGCAGCTGACCCATGGGCACTGGAGGAGGTGCGACAGGCAGCAATGCCCAGCAGGTGGTAACATCTTCCTGTGCAATTACTGAAGTTCTGGCGAACCCAGTGACTACTGTGAATAGGGCAGTTGGAGTCCAGGGAAGACTGGAGGACAGCCAGGAAAAGACTGGATGGCAGCAGGGAAAGACCGCACCGGGAGTGGGTGGCTAGTTACCTAACCCACTAGTCTTTTGCGAGAGAGACACCCAAACCTAACTACAAAGAAACGTAACGAGAAACAACCCGCGGGCCCTCCGAGAGGTGGGATGAAAGATGGGCCCAACAGGACAGACCACACGGTGACGACGGCAACGAACATGGACAACGAGAACACCAGAACTCCAGTAAACGAGGAGAAGATCCTCAGAAAGTGTGCATGTGGATGGGAGAAAGTGACCACGTTTAGGGGCTTACGGATTCATCAGGGGAAAGCGAAGTGTGGACAGAAAGGCCAACAGCAACCTTGCACTGCGTTAGCAGGTGAGACAAGAAGGACCAAAAGCCAGGGAAAAAACCACAGAGCCGAAGGACCTAACGTTGCTGAAGGCATGAGAGTCACAGAGGAAGGTCCCCTGGTGGAGGCTGAGCCTCCACGTGTGCATGAAGACCCAGTCCCCAACACGTTAGACAGAACAGAGCCAAATGAAGAGACCAAAGAACCAGCCAGAAGGAGTAAGCTGAAGTGGCCGAAGTCAAATGAAGCAGAGGCATGGCGCAATTTGGACTTGGACCTGATCAAGACCCTAGAGGGATCACTGCGAGGAGGGGGCGAGACTAAGCTTAACCTGATTGGAGACATAATATACCAGACCTGCAAAGACAAGTTTGGCGAAATTGTCCCCAAACAGAGGACCGCCAGGAGAGAGAAGGGAAGGAGGGAAAGGGAAATCCTCCAACTTGTGCAAAGGCGTCGGCAACTCCGCAAGAACTGGAGGAAGGCAACCCACGCAGAGAGAGAGGGTCTGAAAGTCCTGTGGGAGGAGGTCCGGAAAAGGCTAGCCGGGCTTCGCAGAGCTGAACGCATCCGCAAGCGCAACCAGCGGAAGCAGAGAGAGCGAGCCAACTTCTTCAAGGATCCCTTCAAGCATGCCAGACAACTATTGGAGGAAAAGAAGAGTGGCAGGCTCGAAACCACCAAGGAGAAACTGGAGCAGTATGTCAAAGAGCAGTACAGTGATCCACAAAGGAGCGTCCCTTTAGGAACTCCAGGATACGTGCCCCAGCCGGCAAAGCCAACAGTTGAGTTCAACATCATGCCCCTCAAGCTCAGCGAAGTCAGGCAAGTCGTGGAGAAGGCAAGGTCCTCTTCCGCACCTGGTCCCAATGGGGTCCCCTACAAGCTTTATAAGAACTGCCCCAAGGTACTAGAGCTACTATGGTATCTGATGAGAACTGCCTGGAAAAAGCAAATAATTCCATCTGAGTGGCAAAGAGCGGTAGCAGTCTTCATACCTAAGGAAACGAACTCCAAAGACATCAGCCAATTCCGGAACATTGCACTACTGAATGTAGAAGGAAAGATCTTCTTCTCAGTGCTAGCCAGGAGGATGACTAACTATCTGCTCGAGAATGGCTATGTTGACACCAACTGCCAGAAGGCAGGAGTTCCAGGTTTCCCAGGATGTGTAGAGCACTCCACTATGATCTGGGACCAGATCCAGAAGGCCAAGCGGGAGAAGACCGACCTGCATGTCATCTGGCTTGACCTTGCCAACGCGTACGGATCAGTTCCGCATCAGCTGGTCAACTATGCCATGGAATTCTTCCACATGCCCACCTGCGTCAAGAGCCTGGTAGCTCAGTACTATAGCAACTTGCAGATGTGTTTTTCCCTCCAGGACTTCACCACCGGATGGCAGCGGCTCGAAGTAGGAATTGCGATGGGGTGTACTATTTCTCCAATACTGTTTGTAGCAGCCTTTGAGATAATCCTCATCGGGGCAAGGCAAATGGTTGGGGGGATCAAACTGCCAACTGGCAAGAGGCTTCCCCCACTGAGGAGTTACATGGATGATGTCACCAGCCTCCTTCAGACAGCAGCATGCACATCAAGACTGCTGAAGAGGATGGACGAATTGATGTCATGGGCAAGAATGAAGATCAAGCCCTCCAAGTCTCGGAGCTTGTCCCTCAGGAGAGGAGTCAGAAATGACAATACCATCTTCGTCATTGGAGGGGAAAAAATCCCACTTCTATCAGAGCAACCGATCAAAAGCCTGGGGAGGCAGTACACTGCAGACCTATCTGACAAACAGATGGGGAAAACCGTCATGAAGCAGCTCTCCGACGGACTGGCAAGGATCGACCAAAGCCAACTCCCTGGGAAGTTTAAGGTCTGGTGCTACCAGTTTACACTCTACAGGAGGGTGATGTGGCCCCTGAAAATGAGTGAGATTCCCTCATCAACTGTAAGTAAGATGGATGGAAAAGCCAACTCATTCATCCGAAAGTGGTTGGGGTTGCCACGGTGCCTATCTGAAACCGGTCTATTTGGAAAAAACATGCTGCAGCTGCCACTGCAGTCCATACAGTTGGGCTACATGCAAGAAAAGACCAGGTTGGTTCTCGAGCTGAGGGAGTCCACAGACGAGTCAGTAAAGAACGCAAATGCCAAGGTTCCTACTGGCCGCAAGTGGAATGCCCAAACCGAGGTCGATCAAGCTGTCGGTCGGCTACAACACCGGGAGATCATGGGCAGAGTTCAGGTAGGAAGAGCAGGTCTAGGATGGGGAGAGACGCCACGCTTTTGGTCCAAGGCCAATCGCAAGCAAAGGAAGGAGATGGTGGTAGCAGAGGTGACGAGGATGGAGGAAGATCGCTACAAAATCAAGGCCGTGGCG